TCAATAAAAAACTGAGATCAGGTCTCACTCTTTAAAAAAAAAAAAAAAAAAAAAAAAAAAAAAAAAAAAAAAAAAAATTTTTAAAAAAAAAAAAAAAAAAAAAAAAAAAAAAAAAAAAAAACAATAATTAAAATTATTATAAGCATATATATTTAAAATCTATCGAATTTCATACTTACATATCATATATTTTACAGCCCACATAAACATTGCCAGTATAGTAAAGTTTTCAAATATCCCGAATTGGTCTTCTGGATTCCATGTTAGATTAAAATTTGTCTCATCAAATATTTTCGTGAAAGTTTCTTCGCTGTCAGAGGTATCATTATCCGAATTGGTACCGCAAAACCAGTCATCGTATTCTATATCACTGTAGCTCAAATTATCCGGGCTATCGTTATTAGGTTCAGATTCGAAATTATCGTTATATTCCATATTGAGATTACCAAATTCCTGGGTTTCATGCCAAATTCGGAATTCATTTGAATTTTCTTGCTGCGGCTGCGGCTCATCGTTTTCATATACTGTTGAAATATTTTCGTGACTAAAAGCTGGATTTGTTGTAGTTTTGGATGCTCTTAAGCGAAATTGTGAAGTTTCAAATCGTAAAAGCCGATGTCTTGACATACTTTGAGTTAGAAAATTTTTTATGCAAAATTTAATAGCGATATATATATTAACTTGACACGTGATTCACGTGATACAAATTTATAATTCTGATTGGTCAGCATTGCTAAAACTTAAACCAAAATTATTACATACGTATATACGCACACACATACATATTAATGATATTAGCTCTGATTATTGCGCAATCACGTACTTGTCTTTTAATATAAAAATCTTTCTTTTTCATTGTAGAGAAAAAATCATTATTGAATATGGCGAAAACTAGAGGTGGAAAAACTACAAATCCTAGAAGAGCGAAAAAAAAAGAAACTATTGGTAAATACTCATAATGACTAATGAATTATTAACATTAATATTAATTAATATTATTACTTCTAGAATCATCCGATGAGGAAATTTCTGAACGACAATCAACATCAAATAAACGTTTAAGAAATACGATTTACGAAAAGAGTAATCTTTTTTTTTATAAAACTTATTTTATCAATATGTGTACTAATAAGAATAGATTATATTGATATTAAATAACTTATTACATTTGTTTATTTTTTTTAGACAACTCTAATAAACTTACTCGTATTCCATTTGAGCCAGTTGGTTTAAATCATAACGTACCATTACCAGCCTATAATGCAACTCAGCCAATTCATCAAAGTCAAGACTTTTATAATCGTAACGATTATTCATCAAGTTATGCAAGTCATTCAAGATCATTGTATAACCTCGATCCAGAATTAATCCATAATTCTGATTACATACCATCAAATATTCCAATTCGATCAAATTTTACGAATCCAAACTTGACTTATGATACTTGTTCGTCAAGTAAAAATGCTCATAGATTGCAGGTTCCACTTAACGGTACAAATAATTCTGAAGATAGGTCTGTGACGTCCAGAAATACCATTATGCCAGAACAACAACGTAGCTTGTCACGGGCAACTACTATGTCATTGGACGATATATCAGATTTACATTCAACTTATCACGATTCTTCGTTGCAACAAAATTCTTATAATCATCATAAAGAAAATGATTTAGTGTCAAATTTACGACCTCAACGTACATCAAATCCACCAGTGGATCCCTATAATACAACTACTCGACAACTTGATAATTCACAAGAGTTGAATTTCCCAGATGAGCAATCATTGGTCAATTGGTTATGCACACGGCCGGATTTGATTACTCGAGTACAAAATTTGTTAACAGCATCTTTACCATATAAGGTTTTAGTTAATACATATTAACTACGTATCACTTAATTAATTTATAATATATTAATTTTATTATAATTTATTCTAATGTAATGCAATATTCATTAGAGTGAAGTTAATATTTCAGAGCCAACAGATAAAGAAACCATAATCAACCTAGTAATGGAACAATGCAAGCTTTTGTTTTTGCGCACACGAAATCCTACTAAAAAAATTCGTGAAACACTAATTAAGAAGGTCGTTCCGTCAATGGATTCAGTATCTAAAGACTTCAAAATGTTATATCGAAAATCACGTGAATACTTTGATAATTTTCGACATACATTTAATAAGGATATGACAGCACTTGCTAAAGATTTTCTCGCTAAAAATTGGTATGCAATATGTAACCAAATACAAACCTACCATTTAATATTACGTATTGTGTTTTTATCCGATTGAAAAGATTAATCTTTATATTTAATATCATTATTCTTTTTTGATTTAATATCATTATTCTTTTTTGTAGTAATCTAACTGATAACAATATCGAACAGTTTATTGCTGGTAAAGTCTGGCGACTAAAGCTTAGCAAATACCTTGATGCTAGTGACTTTTCAGAGTTTAAAAAATCTCAATCTTCGCTCAAGTCTCTCGAAAATTTTATCACAGAAAGTTTGAAGATCCATGTCGAATATCTGATTGCAATCCGTAACCAAGAAAAACCATCTTATAGTGAAGATGTCTTGGCAAAAATTAAGAAGCCTGATCAACTCACTCTTCATCTAAACATTCCATCAGCAAGTCGACGAAATTACGTAAATGAATTGGATCTTAATCAAATGAGCATAGAATCTTCGGACAACGAATAATATTCCACTACTTAGAACTAATTAGCGGCTTTTCTTATTATAAACATTCACTGACATAGCAGCTTATTACTTCAATTAGTCATGTTCTTATGAATTAATTACTTAACAATAGATTCATCCATTTAGTAATTGCTTATTAATTTATGCGTTATCGATTCAGTTGTTCAAGTTCTTATTATATGAATTTCGCTAGTCAAAAAAGTAGCTTTAATTAATAGCTTTATTTTACTGACTGAAAGCTAAATAATTTCTCATCTATTCGAATCTTTTAATATGATCTATATAACTAACATTTATAGATTTTTTGCGTACATAACACATTGGGTGTATCCTATCGGTTAATTTACAAATATAGTAACTTTTTTTTATAAAAACATAAAATTCAAACTGCAATAATTCCTCAACATAAATAAAATTGCATTTACAAGTTCGTTTTAACATGATCCTTAAAGTAATAGCGCTTTTTTTTATTTTTATTGTCTGGAGTGTAGTGAAAGACTCTCGATTTCTATGCAAAGTTCTCGTTTTTGATTCATTTTTAATAAAAATATCAAAATGTAACATTAGAAATTTGTCTGTTACTTGTTAAGATAAAAAATATCGAATAATTTATAAGGAACAAAAAAAGCGTTATTACTTTAAAGATTATGTTAAAACAAACCTGACAAGTATAAATTTATTTGTGTGGGTTCGCTGGTTCAAGAGTTATTGCGGTTTGAATTTATTATATATTTTACTATCGTTTGGTCTTCAAAAAAATTTATTATTAGAATTTGCTACTATGTAAATTGACCGATAGGATACACATGCGTAGTAAGCACAATGGTTAGGGTTTACTGATTTCTATTCGAATAATATTCGAATCAGCAAAATTTTACCTATTCAAATTATTCGTTAGATAATTCTTTATTCGAATATTTACCGAAGACGAATATTATTCGAATAACGAAGTTCCAACAATGATACGTATATATGCGTATATTACGATTATCAGGCACATTCTGGATGAATTCAGACATTCATAAATCATTGTGATCGGCCAGGTTTTGTTATTGAATTTTATTTGTAGTGTAATACTTTTTATTTTATTAGAATAGTCCCAATTTTTTTCAAAGCAATAACGATCCTTATAATAGCATTTCGAAATTCCATAATAGATCCAATAATCCGTAGAAATTTTTGGCCAAGCACAAAAATCGTCAAAAGCCTAATATAATTATCTGTAATCACCTAGTAAAGGGCTAGTAGAAAACTATATTTGAAATTTAATATAAATTTTTTTTTTGTCATTCTTATATTATCCTATTATGTCACTAAACTTTGCTAAATATATAATATTTTAATACTATCGCAAAAATGTAAGATTTCCGCAAAGAACGTTAAGAAACTGGCTTATATTACCGGTTTTTTGAATCTTGAAATTATAATAAATTTCTATTAATGTGATTGCAGAAAATTTCAAGTTGTCATTGGAGTAGTTGAACTAAGTTAACGATCGAATTACTAGTAGAAACTTGCTGCAGCTTCCGCTAAAGAAAAAGAGAAGATAGTGTATTAGTAGAAGTAGTAAAGAGAATAAATTACTTAGCTGAATCCAAAACTGTATCTATAAACTCGATTTACCATAATTCTCGGACCAAGTCTTTCACGACTCTTACGTTTAGATTTAGCAGTTCTAGTTAGTATTAGTGTAATATTTGTAGTATGTTATCCCTGTTCTGACCAACATCTATTCCGGTGCACCTTACATTTTTTTACAATGCGAAATTATACTGTAGATTGAAGGCAACTGGAAATGTTTTCGTCTATCCAAAACTATTTTATTATGTCCAGATGTTAGATTTAATATTTAGATGTGGTCTGTTCTTGTAGTTGGTTAACTATAAATTAATTACCATGAAATTATTAATGAGTTCGGGTTTATTGGTATCTATTCTCTAAATATATTTGGTAAATTTTCAGTGTATATTTACTAGTTTGTAAGCTTTATATGAAGTTTTTTTTTTTGTTATCTAGTATTATTAAACAATAAATATTTTTGATTTTGACTGGTAATTATCACGGGTATTTCTAAAAAATTAACTAATCATATGAATGATCTTTCTGATACATTTGTATAGAAATATTTCATTTATTCCCAAGAATATAATACTGTACGTATATACAGTATGTAGATAAATATACCTGAGTACAAGTACTGTATATCCTTTTAACGGATCATTCTAGAAACTTCCACGTGCAGAAAAGTACGATAAGTTACTGAAGTAAATCAAATGTTACATTTAGAGTTAATATAAAATTAAGGTTTACTTAAAGGGATGGACAACCCCCCTTTCGGAAAGAATTTTTTTTTCAGACAAGCAGAGATTTGACCCTAAAAAAAAATACATAATTTTAAAAATGGGTAAATGTTTAAATTACTTAGAATGAGAAAAAAATCTTAATGCATCACACTAAATTTTTATAACTATATATATCGATATATATTTAGGTTTTATAATAAATGAAATTAGCAAGCCTTTATTACAAAATTATGATTTAATTTATTATACTTTGGACGAATTAAACAATATTTTAAAATTTTCACCAAATAATGTAATTGCACTAAAAAATCGCGGATTAGTTTATCTTTTAAAAGACATGTACAAAGAATCTCTTGAGGACTTGAATAATTTATTGAAAACTAAACCAAACGATGCACTTACCTTAAGTTATCGTGGAATGGTTTATTACATGCTAGGAAGATTTAACGAATCACTTGTAGACTTAAATATATCATTAGAATTAAATCCAAATAATGAATTTACATTGAATTGTCGTGGTGCAACTTATTACGAGATGGATATGTATGAAAATTCTCTCCAAGATTTAAATAAATCATTACATATTAATCCAAATAGTGCAACAACCCTAAATAATCGTGGAGAAACTTATCGTATGTTAGGATTATATAAAGAGTCGCTTGCTGATTTAAATAATTCATTGGAAATTGATCCTAACAATGCATTAACATTAAGCGATCGTGGATTAACATATTACCAGATGGGGAATTATGAAGCTTCACTTGCTGATTTTACAAAATCATTAGAAATTGATCCAAATAATACATTTGTATTACGAAATAGGGGAAAAATTTTTCATAAAATAGGCAAATACGAGGAAGCACGTTTAGATTTAAACGATGCATTTGAAATCGAATCAAATAACTTATGGATAATAACATGTGAAGAAATATATCGAACAATTAGTAAATATGAAAGGATACTTGCGGAATTTACTAAATTGTTAAAAATTGATCCAAATAATGCATTTGAATTAAAAAATAGAGGAGCAACATATCGTGTATTAGGTAGATGTGAAGAATGGCTTGGAAATTTTGAAAAATTATCAAAAATTAAATCTAGTAACCAACGGTTACTGAGAAGTCGTGACAAGTATAAAGAAGCACTTAATGATTTAAATAAATCATTGGAAATTGATCCCAATGATGCAGATACTTTGAAAATTCGTGGAGAAACATATTATCTTATGTGTAAAGATAATAAGGCTCTTGCAGATTTAAATAAGTCATTAGAAATTGAGCCAACTAACGCATCTGCACTAAAAATTAGGGGTGCAACTCATCGAATGTTAGACAAAGACAAAGAATCCCTTAATGACTTAAATAAATCATTAGAAATTAATCCAATTAATGCATTTGCACTTAGACAACGTGGAAGTACGAATCTTTCAATGCTTAAATATGAAGAGTCAATTAATGACTTTAACCTATCAATAGAGATTGAGCCAAATTACGCATGCGCATTGGGTGAACGAGGAACTGCTTATAAAATGATGAATAATTATGATCAATCTTTTATAGATTTAAACAAATCATTAGAACTTGATCCTACTAATGCATGGACATTAAGAAGTCGTGGAAGAGCTTATCGTGATAAGAATATGTATAAAGAATCGCTCGTAGATTTTAGTCGGTCATTAGAAATCGAACCATACAATGCATGGGCATTAAAAAATCGTGGAGAAATCTATCTTATGAATGGGCTTGAAGAAGAATCTTTTGCTGATTTCAAAAGGTCTGTAGAAGATGCAATATAGCGCAAAGCGTTCACAAAGGTAACAATTATAAAGATTATTATATTTATTTATTTATTTATTGTGGTGGCTGAAGGTGAAATTTGTTGAAGCTGAAAATTTGACCTATTTTATTATAAAAATTTAAAAATTTTTGGAGTACATTTTTTAGGGTAAGGGGTCAGCTTTATAAGTGGGTTTTAGTAGGATTTATGGATCTAAATTGAGACCTCCAAATTCTCAGCTTCAGCCAATTTCAGCCATCTCAAACCTTTATTACTATATTAAAGTTTTAAAAAATATTTCATTAGGTGCTTTTATCAAGTTGACTAGTTGACTTGAGTCGGTCATGCGTCGTGTAATTAAAAAATTATTGTAAATTAATGATCTATAAAATGACGAATCTAAAGGTTGTCCATATTGTAATAAAAGGGTATGGGAAATTGCATGACATTAGTACATTTCCAGTTCTGAATCGAGCCAATCTATTTTAAATAGTCTAGCATCCCTATATAAAACTCGCTAGAAATTTCCGATCATGTAAATTAAATAGAGTCCTTATATATAGGCATCATAACATATAATATTCATACATATAATATTCGCTTATACATAAAGTATTTATTAACAGTAAATTTAACAATCTAAACTAAAAATTATTGTTCCATTCAATGTCTCTGCGCGTGAAGGCAAGCCAGCAGATATAGTGGAAGTATTATAACTGTAAATTATATATATATATATATATAATATCCTTTTAGTTAAAGAAACGTTAAGGTATGAAACACGAAACATTAAATATTCAACGAAAATATTATTTATTAAAAAATTTTTTTTAAGTTCATTTTAAGTTGAATCGTTTGACCGCAAAAAATTGCCCATAGTTTAGCCGGATTATGCTACTCATTGGCGGAACTATTAACAGT